ATACATATATATATATATACATATATATATATATATATTCCTGAGTGTACAATATGTAACTATAAAATTACTCATGTACTGTACTGCGGGGGGCATTGCCCCCGCACGCCCAACCCACTTAACAAAACCCTCCCAATTGGCTCGCTCCATTCCACTCTAGTTATCTATTATATGAGCCATACCTGCAACAGTAAATCCAAGTTGCATGGTATTTAAAGTGAACATGCATCTAAATGCTCCTAACCAAACAGTTGCTATAATAATATAATTCACGCAATCATTTATTGAAAACCATCTTACCATTTACAGCTCGGAATCTATGAAGTATACTGTCAAATGTTCCAAGTCAATCAGAGCTGTTCTTCAGACTACAAAGAAGTAGTCTAAGATTTATCTCTAGCTTCACTATTTACCGAAGATAGCTATTAAATGCATTAGTAATATTATAAATATACGTATGTAATATTAAAAATTATCCATTTCTATATAGTCATCATCTTTTCACGTGATTCATGAAACCCAAAATCCAATATTTAAACTCTTCAAAAAAATTCCAAATATTACTTTTTCCATGGGGAAATGTGAACTCTTATTTTTCGCTTTCATCAATTTTCAATAGCTCCCTTGCATGAACTGATAGAATGAATGCAGTGAGTTGCTGAGCATTGAATTGATGTCATGGAGTCAGGAAGCAAGTCCATGTGGTCTAAATACACACAGCTGACGAAATGGATCGATAACTTATTCATTTAACACCCTTTAATTATTACAATTGACGGATCTAGCTGCATGGGCAACTGCAAAAGCAGCATCTTTATTAAGATTTCGTTTGAAAGAGCTTTGAGGTTCCAGGAAGTCCCTTACCGCGCGAAGCTCCTTTGAAAGTCACATCAGCTGAATGGACCATATAAACTGTGATTTAAAACGGTGAAAATTTATAATTCTTCTGAAATAACTTTCTAAAAAGTGCGAAAAATGTTCCTCCATCAAATGAACATTTTTCCAAACTGCAAATTATTGAATAAATTGTTGATGAGCTGAATAAAAATAATATACTGATAAGCTAGGTTCGGTAGCTATTACAAATTTTTTTTTTTTTTTGGAAAAGCCAGACCGCACTCAAAAAACTGTCACCGCACCAATTAAGCCGCTCTAAACAGACATTTACCTGGAACACAAAAGAGGTTGGAAGCCTTAAATTATCTTCTAGAACGAATGAGATTTGTGTTCACTTTCACAGCAAGAAGGTAGAAAGGGCATCGAGCAATGAAAATTTGCATGAAAAATTTTATTTGTTCATCCAGTTATTGCTACAAGTGGAAGGATTTCTTGTCAGTTCAGAAATTATTTTTTTAGGATCATAAATATACAGGTCATATATTTTCAGAAAACTGTATTGTGCAGCAATCCAATGATATGGAGGAGAAGGTCAATAATTGAGAGAACTTTCTCCCTGCTATAGATGCCTGCAGAAGCATGTTATTTGCGGAAAAGATAGCACCTTGATACCTAGCAAACCTGTGGGCTTGCAGCACTAAATGAAGTTTGGTTTTAGAAAAAAAAAAAGGAAAAATGAGGAAAAATGAGACATTTATATGGAATTTATATGGATACAACACAATTTCTATATATTTGCATATCAAACTACTAAAATTTCGCATTTGCATCTACCATATTTGCTGTTATAAATGCGCGCAAATATGAAAAGGAGTACTCCATTTTTTAAAAATTAGTGATGATTATACTTTTGATGTAATATTAGTGTATGACAAAGAAATATAGCTCAACGAAGCACTCTAATTTCAGCTCCTTGTAGTGTGCTTTATGGACAAAAACAATGGAAGTCATTGGACTCCACCACTTCATCTCCAACTGGCGGGCCACCTCCTACGGCCGCATGGCTACCACCAACCAACCGGCCGACCATCTCCTATAACCGGAAGGCCACCTTTGGTCGGCCACCACCATGCTCTCCTGCCGACCACTTGAACCCGACAAGCTCTGTCGATCGAAGAGCTCTTGAATGACTACCTAAACTAACAAAAATGAAAAAAATATGTACTGCCTTCTTAAAAGCAATCGTAATTAAGTAATATTGTATTATTTCCTTTTTATCTTCTATAAAGAGAGAAATCATGACATGTATTGAAAGTTTTTATGCTCTTCTTTCTTAACCTGTCATGTAGAGAGAACTTTTTCGTCTTCCCCTCTCTCCCTCTCTTGTATTTACTATGTTCCATAAAATAAAATAAATAAAAGAGCCTGAGAACACCCCCCTTCCTTACAAACAAGTCTTGATCCCTCCCTCCCTCCCTCCCTTCCTAGATCTGTCCCTATACTCTTATCCCTTGAGCGTGAGAGAGATCTAGATTCAAAAATTAGAGATTTAGCTGTTATCCATTTAAATATATAAGATTTGGTGTTATTCATAAAAACTCCCTTAAAAATATTAACTTGAAGAAAACAAGGATACCTTTTTCAAAGTAGTTATATATGAACATCAACTTTTATTTAATTGAAAATTCACTATTTCGTTATTATTGTTTATGATATTGATTAATAAATACAGTCAAATATATAGATTTGTAAATTAATAGAACACATTAGATTTTTTTGACACCTTTATGACCCTACAATTCATCATATAGTATGGACAAAACTTTTAATAGGAGATTTCAAACAAGAAATGATTCAAAAAGAAAAGATTAGGTGTTAGTTAGTTAACACTAAATGGAGTCGCCATATATATATATATATATATATGTATGTATATATATAT